CTAATCCTGTGTGTTTGGGTTGTTATAGATACTGCAACATCTATCTATCCATCTATCCATCCATCCATCCATCCATCCATCCATCCATCCATCCATCCATCCATCCATCCATCCATCCATCCATCCATCCATCCATCCATCCATCCATCCTCGACGTAACACCGGTATTTCCATCTGGAAAACGCTGTTTTGCTGCTGGAGTCCTCCTCACTCTCCATCTCTCTGTGTGTGCTGTACGTTAACACCCGCCAGCGGAAACACCCACCTACCCAACTGACAGACGGAATATCACTGACATCAGCCATTCTCATCCTCCCCTCTCTCATGACAAGGCGCGCACGAGTCCTATCATGAAAAAAAAAGGTTCATTGTGCGACCTGAGTAACGCGCAGTAACGGGGTGTCTGCAATGGTAACTGCGTTAGAGTTAGAGTAAGAGTAATAATTTTGATTACTCGTTACTAAAAAAAGGTAACGGCGTTAGTAACGCTGTTACTTTCAACGCTGTTACTCCCATCACTGCATGCCAGTGTGCATCAAAGTATCAGTACTGGTACTAACATTACACTTTACACATTAAATTTAACACAACATTGTTTGAATTGCAGTGCACATCATAGTGCTCTGAACCCTCGTTGTTCTGAGGGTTAGGTGCCAGTCTGCTAGGTCTCCAAATATTCCTCTCCTGGCTTTTCCTTCTCACAGAACAGATTTCCTAATGAATTTTCACCAAATCAACACTTTTCTCTTTATTGTTTTGCTTTTATCATCATCAGTGTTCAGAAACTTTTGAGGAGTTAATTTGGCTTCCTTATTCTTTCAGTTTTTTTCACATAATGTTTTACCTTGGAAATTAAAACAAATAATCTTCCCTGATTAGAGTAAAAATAATCACTGCAAAATAATCTCAGTTTACTAAATGTTCCAATTGTCCTCGTAAGGGTTAATTAAATCTGTAGAGCCGTGTGACTCTCAACATAAAATTAAAGTTGTCTATTAATATTCTTTGCAGTGTTCTTCATGCATGCTCACACACACCTGCAACCCCCCTCCACACACACACACACACACCAACTTCTATGTTAAGTTGACCAGGAGGAGGGCGGAGTAGCTTTGCTCAGAGATTAAAACAATCCTCTCTTGATTTCTTCCTCACTCAAGGGAAAAGCGGAAGCTTTCTGTTATCGTTTGTTTCTATTATTATTCTCCATTTGCAGTTTGAGCGTTTAAAGTGGGCTTTAATGAGAAAGTCAACAAATCTCCATGTGTCGGTTTTGGAGGAACCTGTGATTGCTTGAGAAGTCGCTGGTTGAGAAGCTCATTGTATCTGATTAGATGGTGAATGGTTTACAAGGTTTCATAAATCACCTAATTTAAATAAAGCAACAACTAATTTCTTTAACAAGATATTAAATATTTTTTGGGGCCTTTTTTGACAATTTAGCATTTAACATTTTGACATATTATTGCATAGTTTGAACCTTTAGGTTTAGCATTTTTAGCACATAATTAACCCCCTTTGCGTAAAAGATTTAAAACGTATTAACAATGTGTAAGCAATGTTGGGAAAAGAAAAATCAACACAAATGGAGATTAATTTTCCAAAATGAAAAGAAAGAGTAGCGCTTGCTCTACTTTGATTTACTATATCTGTGCAGCACTTTTGTTCTTTAGAACATCTATTTGGTTCATTAGGTTCTACCAGTCCAGTGCTCTATTCTGCACAGGAAATCAGATCCCAAAGGATTTCTTTCGGTCCCCCGGGGAGCTTTTTATACGTTGCAGGCAAATTAATGTTGTATCTGCAGGCGCATCAGTGCTACTAAAACGTTTTACTTTACAAATGAAGTGATCAACCAGAACCACAGCTGTTGGACGCACAAAACTGTGACAGCCTGTAATGACTCTGTCTGCTCTCTGATTCAGACACATCCACTATTGTTTGTAGCGATGATGATGATGGTAGCAAAAATGACAACAATGACAAGAGATTAAAGGACAAAAACAATGATGCTGATGATGAAGGTGCTGACAGGTTTAGTGTTCAATAAACTGTGTTCATTCCCAGGACCTTGAAGGTCAGGTTACTGTAAAAGAACCATGTTTATTTTCAAGGTGTCTGAGAAGGAAATGACCGGGGGACGTGAAAGAAGGGCAGACCCTAAGGGTGGGGCCTAAGCGACAGATCGGGAAGGGGGGGCAGGAACGGGTCGATATCGAGGAGAACGGCTGGGAGATCAGATCAGAGGAAGGAAGTTCAGAGCTGTCCTGTCAGTGTGGAAAGCTAAGATGATGATTCAAGTATTGGTCACTAGTGAGACAGGTGTTCGGTGTGATGTCATAGAAACAAGCACGGGCCAAAAAAATCACCACAGTGGGTCCAATGGCTGGAGACAGGCTTTTCTTTCCAACATAATTCACAACAGCACATGACATTTACTCCTTAGGTCACTGCTAAATGTGATGAAAAATTCCTTGCAAAACATTTCATAGCAATTCTTAATTTTTCTTTGCATTTTATGCCCAAACTGAATGCATTCCATAGCTCTATGCACAAAGTAGAACAGTGTCATTTACAGCATTTTAAAGAAATTTGATGAATTAATATTTTATTTTGACTCTGATACTCCCCCCAGCAAACAGAAAAAAAAGAAAATTCAAAGAAACCAGCTATATCAGAAGTTGTCATGTGTTTTAGATAGAATCAACTCAAATAAAAATCCATCTGGCCTATAAAAGCATCGAAGGAAAATTTGGGAACATTTTTCTCTCTGCTTTTTCTCACCATAGCAACTTCATCTGCTCGGTTTTTGTTTTGCTATGACTCCATCCTGGTGAGAAATATCAGCTGGGCTGCTGCCATCAACATTTTCCATTAGATGACAGAGTTATGCCTGTTTTACAGTTCTTAGTCCTGTTTCTCTCCTAGACATAGCCATAGGCTCAGCTTATACTTACTTCCCAACTTGAAACATATCTTAGAATGCTTTTTCATCCATTATTTAAAGATAGAAAAAGTCTGTGACAGCTGCAGACCTACGCAGACATGGCCATCAACCCTAGCTGAGAGGTCTGACAAGAGGAGTATCAATCAAAAGTAAAACCAAGAGGCCAATGATTTAGGGATGTCCTGATACTATTTTTTATGTCCGATATGAAACCGATTTTGCAGCTTTGAGAACTGGCCGATACCGATATTGACCCGATACGATATTAGAATGAATCATAACAGCTTTTATTACTTATTTTATACTGTAGAACGGAGGTCTTCAACAGGGAGTCCACGGAGGTACTGCATGGGCGTTGCGGAAGTTTTGGTTGATTAGACTTTTTTTCCCACTAATTGAAATGTTTTAAAATCCACATTAACATGAATTCAACACGCTGAGATAAACTGAGGCAGAAGATGTCTTTCAGTCATCAATGCACACATTCAGCGACACACAGGAGCTCTTTCAATCTGGGCACCATTTCATTCACAACACCTGTCCCATCAACCAGGAATCAGAATCAGAAATACTTTAATAATCCCAGGGAGAAATTACTTTTGTTACATGACTCCATATGTAATAGAGTGACTATAGAACCAGTTTGATATAACACAGTTTCATACCATATAATTAGGGCGTCCCCATTCCATCTCACCATCAGTATGGGGGTCCTTGGCCTAGAAAACTTTGAAGACTCCTGCTGTAGAATGTTAGCGAAGGCTTGATCAAGCAAAATTACTAAAAAAGGGAATAAAGGGTACGAAAACAACTGACCCATGTAAATTTAACCAATGAGTTACAAAAACTTTTAAAAGAAGCAGAGTGTTTCTATCAACAATAGAAGATATTGGAGATTTTAGATGACAGCCAATAAAATCCAATATTGTTTTTGGCTAATATCGGACTGATATCTGATATTGATATCGGATCAGGACATTCCTGAAATGATAACTCTAGAAAAGCTGCAAGGAACCACAACTCAGGTGGGAGAATCACTAGACATTGCAACTATTGTTGATACTGTCCATAAATGTGGCCTAAATGAAAGAGAAGTGAAAAGAAAGCTGTAAGAATACCTCTTTGCAATTTTCCACAACTTATCTAGTGGGCAAAGCAAGCGTGTGGAAGATGGAGAGGACACCAAAAATGTAATTTTTAAGCTGACATGTAAAGTGGTCTTTAGGAAAGAAATCTAAACATTGATCTCTAAAGTAAAACATGGCGGCCATGCGGTGGGCATGATCATCTTCCTTAAGGAAATGTAATCTATTTGAGCCCTCTGAAGACTTGAACCTCTGGTGGATGTGAACCATCCAGAAGGTGTACGATTCTAAACATATAATCACATCTAGAATGGTTTACTGTTGCTCTATACCAAAGTTCAAACCCCATATAAGAAAAATGTTTTTATTTTTAATCTATTTAAATAGTTAAATACATCTATTATGCACAATGTTGTGTTTATCTGCCATGTGTAAAGTCAGAATTCTAAGAAAAAAGTCAGAATTCTGAGATTAAAGTCAGAATTCTGAGATTAAATGTGAAAAGTCTTTAACTCTGACACGGATTCAGATCCCAATTAGTATCATTTACATACATAACAAACAGCCACTGTACTTTCCTATAAAGGACACCCTTCAGAGTATGGATGTACTGGCAGAAACACATGCTGGTTTGGTGCACACGTCCAGATTCACTTTTCATTCCCAAAACTTAAAATATTTTGAACATAACAGGCTCTGTTTACTGTAATGTGATGTCCATGAAATGGCACATACATGCTCGAAAGAAAAAAACAGTCCAACTCCCTTTAAAAGTCTGAGACTGACCAGTCCAGAGCCGTGTCTTTGTACATGCATGCGTTTAGGCATCTGTGTGGGGATGTGTGTGTGTGTGTTGGTGGTGAGGGGCAGAGGAGGGGTGGTGGTTCCTTATCTGCAGACCACAGGCAGCTTTTGAGGCTTTTATCAGCAGCCACCACATTGTACTAGCACATCCTCTTGTCCAGCAGGGAGCGGAAAACTCTCCTTGCTACATGGTTCCCTTTCTCTCCCCCCTCTATTTACTCTCCCACTTCTCATTTGCCAGAACCAGAACTCTGGCAACCGACTAGATCATTGTATCTTTTTGGCCAAGAAGTGGAATACGGATAGACAGATTGGTGAATGACAGATAGGTGAGGATGATACAGTGACTGAAGGGGTAGGTGAAAGGGGACCACAGCTGTCACTCTTCGTGCTTCAAGTACAGCAAAGACTTTCCTTCAACTGTTTTTTTTAAACATTTTCACTTATTTGTGTTTTGTTTGTGGTTTTATAATGGATTAACAGCAGTCTAAAGGCATTTTTTGAGTAATGTCAGACGGTTTGGCTCCAGTTCCGACCTCAGACTCTGACAGGCGGACGCTGACAGGCTTACATGGAGTGCGGCTGAGCAGAGGGAGGAGGGAGACGGTGCTTAAGTGCTGCGCACATAAAAGATGCACCTTCTCAGAGCAGTTCAACTCTGATGGATTTCGCAAGAGAGACAGGGAAGGAGCCACACATGATGTGTCAGTGAGTAATCGCATCACTTCAATTATATGTTCTTACATTTTATATTTGTAGACTGGATTCAAGTTGTCTGTTTATGTTTTAAAATTAAATAAATAAGGTGTGTTTTGTGCACCATATGGTAAAGGAAGAAAAATAGAAAATACTTTTAGGGAATTATAGTTATAATGGAAATATTTAGGTTTAAAACAGATAATTATGGTTCTGATAATATAATTTAACAAAAAAATATTTTCTATATTTCATCAGTTAATTTTTTTTCCCTGCAAACACCTTTAAAAATGTACATTTTCAAAGAATCATAGTTTAAAAAAATGTATGTGAGAAATGAAAAAGAAGAAAATGCTTTAATTTGAATTGTGTTGTGTAAACTAGTAATTTCTATTAGTTATTTACAGTCTAGATAGATTTCTATCAGAGCTCTGTGTAGATGCGACTTCCACTAAGCTTCTTTTAAACCAATTTACTGCATTATTACCGCTGTGTTTAAATTTACCTGCTCTGTAAAGAGATTTCTTTGAATTCAAGTGTAGGAGTCGTCCCTAGACATCTCGGAGAAGACGGAACTGTTAAAAATACAGTCACGATGACCAGAACATACAAAACAGGAACAATTGCTATTGCAAAACCTGAAAATTAGATGTACTTTTGCACTGCTGGGGGGGAAAAATAACAGTTTCTCCTTAAAGTAGAGCAGCTAATTTTCTCAGTGTTCAGCAAAAAGTCTGCATGATCAAATCTGGAGCATAAAACTAAAATAACAGAGATGGATTTTAATGACAGCTGAAGAGATGGATGTGTCAGAACTGATCTTTTAAGCATATGTACAGTGTATCCTGAAATTATTATTTTATTTATTCTTTCTTTTGTTCAGCAGATTCTTTGATATCAATCCAATCTTCAAGGATCTGGGACGTCTCGAATCCTTCCAGGGACTTTGAGTCACATCCTCAAAGTACACACACGCTATAGACAGATGAACGGACTAATGAAGAGGAGTCACTCGGGACATTTTCAGAGTATAAACTTTGCCACTCAGGATGTAGTGTTAGAAAATTACAGACATCCACGTTAAATTTAGATCAGAGCACCAGATCAGCCTCTTCTGTATGTCCAGGGCTGAAGACGTCAGCCTTCCTTCAGAGCTGCTCGGCGATGCATTTGTCACCTAACAGTGACCAGAAAGACACAACAATATCCAAGACATAAGATACTCTGAAAACACTAATAGGATCTGAAAAGTTTCAGATTAATCTGGGGAAACTTCTCCTTTAATGGGATTGAGAAGACCTAAACAATACCAGAACTGAGTTTAGGTTAGAGTTATAGCCAGGAGACACATTTACAACTTTTTACTGATTAACATGAAATCATTTTTTTTATTTACCTGATGTAGAGGCAAACTTTCTGAAAGAAGCACAAGGTTGATAGTGACTGTTTGTGTCAAAGATCTGACCACCATGATGGAGAAAGCAAGACAATCTGTTTCACCTGCCTCCCCTCTGGACGTACCTCGTCCCACCTCCTCCTCCTCCCCGTTATCTTCCACGTCTTCACCCTCCTGTGCTTCTGTGGAGCCCCACAGTCCCACCGGGTCCTTGGATCCCTTTAGAAGCCCACACACAGTAAATGAAAGCAGGGTAATAGAACATATGAGCGTCTCTGCTGCAGCCAGCACTCGGTCTCCCATCATCCTTACAACAGTGTTAACCAGTCACCAAGCAGGTGCACATGATCCAGCTGAGTCTACCGTTAGGGGGATGGAGCAAGGCGACCAGGTGGGGAAACTGGAGGAATCGGGGAACAAAGGCTGCAATGCTGCTGGTTCAAAGGAGGGGTCTCCGACTCTCTCTTCTCCACCCCCACTCCTCCCGGCTCCAGCCAAGACTTCGCCGTGCCCAGTGCCGACCTCCGCTTCCACCACAGCCATCTCCTCATCATCCTCACTCTCTCATCTTCCTCCTAACATTCCAGTCATCAGCCTGGGTCACAGCAAGCCTCCTCTACCTCTCCCCAATACCCCTTTGACTGCCCTGCACCCGATTCCCAGCCTCATCCACGGACCCCATGGGGACATCCGGCGCAGCCAGCAGAGCTGTTTAACCGTGGTCGGTCCTGGAGCTTTGGGATTATCTGGAGGCCCCTCTACTGGTCCCCCTGGGCCCCTCTTGGCTCAGCAATACCTGCCTGCTCACACATTTCTCACCAGGTGAGGTTTGACTTTTGTATTCCTGTACTGTATGCAATTCCTAACGTTTTTGCCTGATAAATTCTATAAATTCAGTATAGTTTTTATCTTTTTTTAATTATAATTTTTACATAGTTCTACTTTCAGACTGGATTGATTGATCCTGCCCTAGAACACAACAGGATTCAGATTCACTTAAATATGCTTTGATTTGAACCCATTATAATGTCGATTTGAAAGAAGGTGCACCTGCAGTCCTCTGCATCCCTACACCCTTATGCTGCCAACACCATCCTTCTTTTTAAAATGGTATCTTCAAGTCAGTTTTGTGTAAGGTTTTTGCATGTTGAACAAAAACTTTTATTATGGTTTCAGTGAACAAAGCACTTTTAAATAATGACTTTTCCATAAAGCAGGGGTTTGTGTGCATAATAATTAAACCCTGTAATACTTTTTCCATTTTTTTCGATGCAGCAGAGATCTGTGAGATGTTTACGTTTTAAATAAATAAAAAACAATCTGAGCTTTGGAATGGCAATGTTCTCCCTCTCCTCTGTAGCATCTGTTTTGTCTTGAGCTGTTCATCAATATTCAAACTCAAACCTGTGTGAGGTTGTCATAGAACAGTTGGATTTATACTGATACATTTTGAAATGATGGACTAATGATACAATTTTTTTGTTATTTAGGGGCATGAGAAAAAAAACAAATATTCCATTCTTTCTGTTTATATCAAAAAAGGGAAAACTTTACTTTTGCAAGCCTTTTTACGCATCCTAAAGATGTTTCACATGGAATTATTTGGATGCTTAAATGGTGATTTCAAGATCTATTCACCTTTTCTTTTATAACCTTAGCTCTTTTATCTGGAACAAAACAACTCTTTTCTGGTCCTATGATCAAGGAAACAACTGAATTAGGTGCCTGGCATTTTTTTTTTTTTTTTTGCAGCCGAAAGAATCCTGATAGTCTGAAAACTGCAGGATTGCTAAATGCATTTTTAAATAAAACTGAAATGATCCCACCAACAAAACCAAAAGACAGTTCAGCTAGAAACATTCCTTCAGCAGTGAACATTATAAACCATGGCTGTGAGTGCCTTCCTGTAGTGTGAGCTGTGAGGAAGATCATTCTCACGCAAAACAGTTACTTAACAATGTCAAGTTTTACGTGAAATCCAAAAACCCGGATTCCATGACTTCAGAATGTGACTGTGTTGCTCTTTTAAGTGGAAATACAAGCAGGATGCATGCTGTGACGAAGGAGCTTGATGTTTATTAAGCTAAATTTACTCCTACTTTTAAGATATTTATATTTTTGCTACAGGTTTTAATGTATTTAGTTTTACTTCCTTAATAAAGTCTTCATAACAATCTACACCCTAGCTTTTTGATCACCAAGAGCTGCTTTAATGAGTGAATAAACAAAATTTATCTTTTTTTTTAATCATTTTCTTAAAACATTTGAGATGTGGTAAGTTGATCTGAGTGGCAAGAAAATACACTTTTCTTTTTTTTTTTTTAAAACACTTGAATTTTTCTTAGATAAAATGACATTCAGCAAACAGACAAACGGCAACGCAGAAAACCTCTCAAAGATCTCGTTTGGGGTGCATGAACCAGCAGCTTCTCGCTCACTTCTATGAAGACGGTTTTAATTTGTGGAGATTTTACCATAATTTTGCAGAACTAAGAAAGACAATGGGTCATTTTTTTTACTATGAACTGATCTGCAGCTTCTGCATCTGTCTTAGTATACAAGTCTAAGTAGGACTTTCCCTGCTTTTTTCTCACTATAAACAGTAGAATAGCCAGAAGAAAAATTTCTATTTATAAAAGTTTTATAGGACTAGGCTAAGCCACTGAATCAATGCCACCATAACAATCACACCCTCATTAATGCCACACTTTTTCTTTACACTCTCTTGTGTGTAGCAGCATCTGAAGCCATAGATAGTAATACTACCCAGCTTGGCTTGTTCTTACCTTTACTGCATATTCATGCAAATTTTTTGTTTGATGTGTGTTTTGATTGACTAGCTCCTATCTAGGAACCTCAGGAGGAACCTATGGCATCAACAACAGCATCCGCATTAAGAGGAGGCCTTCATCTCATTATGAGATGGAGATCAACGAATGTAAGTTTCCGCAAAGATTTAGAAGCCATTTTTTTCTATTTATTTTTCTACAGGACTGATCTAAAGCCTGACCTTTTTGTTAAAGTAAACTAGTCTTCTTACCGTTTACTATCTGTGACCTCCTCCCTCAACACAATTCTTTTTTTTTATTCCTGGCGAATATCTGAGAAATCACTTTATATCATGGAGAGAAAACAAGAAAATTTTTTAAAACAGTTTAAAGATGTTAAAAGTTTAGACATTAAAGGGAAGTTTCACAAATAAGTGCAATAGGTTTATACTTTTGTTTCTCTTTTAGTTTTAGACACAGCAGCGAAACATATGAAAGAAATACATTATTTCCTAAAGCAATCACCTCATAAAACTACTTTCATTATTTTAAGATCAACATCTAAAATCACACCAGATTGCCACAGAAAACAATGTGATGTGGATCTTGCAGCACAGCTAATAATTGTAGAGTGATTAATCCTGATATGGATTCATTTGAAGATAATGCACTGACTGAAATGAGAAGCCGCATCTTATTGTACAGTTATAACATGTTACACATGCAAACTTAAACAAAAACGGGTCCCTGAGCTGAGGATGTGGGGTTTTCCTCTGTAGTTAATAATCCTCTACTCTTCGTTGTTCTTTCATTTGTGCACAAGCTGGCTGAACGCAATTTTTCTCAGTGAATGCAATGAAATGAGACTTTCTAAGCTATTTAAATTTCTAGCAAGCAATAGAACCTTTTTTATTGTGGAATGAATACTTAGAGCTTATTTGGACACAATTTAATGATATATCTATTCATATCTATGGAAGAGGATTAGAGCCACTGGAAAGAAAAAAAAAGTTAACTGATTTTTAAATTTGATTTCAGTTTAGTATGGGGAAAAAGACAGAATTCTGACTTTAATCTTAGAATTTTGACTTTATATCTGAATTCTGACTTTAATCTCAGAATTCTGACTTTAATCTCAGAATTCTGAATTTTTTCTCAGAATTCTGACTTTTTTCTCAGAATTCTGACTTTAATTTCAGAATTCTGACTGAATTCTGACAATAAAAAAAGTCAGAATTCTGAGAAAAAATTCAGAATTCTGAGATTAAAGTCAGAATTCAGAGATTAAAGTCAGAATTCAGAGATTAAAGTCAGAATTCTGAGAATACTAAACTGAAATAAAATTTAAAAATCAGTTAACTTTTTTTTTTTTTTTCCACTGGCTAATCCTCTTCCGTAGATATCCCCAATTTAGCTTCTGTTGTTCTTTTTTTTTTTTACAAAAATGTGTAAGCTCCCTATGCCAGTTTGTAAATCATACAACAATGGCAGAAAGCCTACACAGAGGATTTAATTCAGTTCGAAAACAATATTATAGAGTTGTTTTTTTCTTTTTTTTGTTACAGCAGTAATAATATTAATGTGCAGAAAATAAAGGTAATTATAAAGACAGACTTCCATAGTCATTTTTAAAAAGTTCCAAAGAGACTTGTTTTTTTTCACATGAAATATACCTTTTGGGGGAAAAAACACATACACATGTTGTGTCACGCTATCCTTATGGGGACTTTCCATTGACTTGTATTCAAATTGCATTCATTTCTATGGCCTAACCCCGACCCTTACCTAAGCTTAACTTATATTCAATTCACACCTTAGTCCTGAAGCTAGCCCCCACTCCAAGAAGAGAACTTTGCATGGGGAGTAGTCCTTGACTCCACAAGTACCTATAAGTCTCTAAAATGTAGCATATTTCCAGGAAAATGTCCCTTCTGGGTAAGAAATACATGTCCACACCCCTCAGTCAGGTTTTTAACATGCTATTCATTCAAACCTAATTTTTGTATGAAAATTTTTTCTTTATTTTTCTTATTTAATATTCTAACCTTTAATGAAATGTTTTTATTTGTTTATGCTGAAACAAATCATAACATAAAGGCTTTAAATATGTCATATCTGTGTAATTCATCTATATAATGCGTTTCATCGAGCAAACAACGTTAATTAAATAGATGAACTTTTCAGTCATATTCTAATTTACTGAATAACTGTATTAACACTAGAGAATGCAGCTCAAGAGAAATTAATTGCTTCAACTGGTAACAAGTAATTCAATCCAGTTAATTCAACTTTATTTTTACAAATTGCACGTTAGACAAATCAAATTAAACCTAATTCAATTACATGTTACCAGTTGAAGCAATTCTTTAGGGGCTGGAGGTGAAGCTGCATTCTCTTTTTAAAGTGCACTGTTCTGAAATATAAAACAAATTTTAATACAGTTTTTACCTGATCGAGATGTAAAGGCTGTGGGCAGGAGTACGCTTCCTACAAATTATGAGAGAAGAGTTTCAGTCTGTTGTCTTTAGAAAAAGGTCCATTTTAAAAGGATCTGTCAATATTAACAACCAGAAATTCTTCACAAAGCTCTTAACAAGGTGTCTGTACTAAAGCGAGGATGAAGTAATGGTAGACTCAATGAGGACGATGACGAGGCTAATTTGTAAAAAGTTCTGGACTCATATTTATCACAATTAATGGCTCAGTTAGCAAAGCACTACTCTGGTGATTTAGAGGCCTAAATCTTAGTTAAAAAGATTCTATAGTTAGGATAAAAGTGTCTGAAACCAGTATGAAACATAAAAATAATCATTTTAATCAAATATCCCCAAAATATTTTAGAGAAAATATTTATTTTCTCTTTATGTGCTCCAGATCCAAGATGGCTCCCGGTTTAAGCAGATGGTAGTTCTTTACTAAACCTGAGTCATTTTCCAGAACGTGAAACAACCACAGAAAAAGGCTTAATTCTGACTTTTGCTTCACTTTTTCTGAAGACATTATGTTACCCTTATCCAGAAGCATGGATAGTGGCTTCAAGTCATGTTTAAGAGACTCAAAGACCCCTGAGTATGTGTCGAAACGGCCTCAGAAAAATTGCAAATGTACAGTATGGTTGCCTCCAATTTAAACTTGTTTTGTGGTTGCCATGAACAGGATGACTGAGAATTTAAACAGGCAGAATGTAAATCAGTTTTTCTTGCTGTGAATTAAATAAACATAAATATTTATCTTTAACTTGTGTAAACTACATCAGCAAAGAAAGTCACTAATTGCTTAGTAGAGCAGTTTCAGAATTGTTTTTATGAGTATATAAAATATACCACACTACACTACACTACACTACACTATACTATTCAATAGCTACTGCTTTGAGTCAGTAGCTAATGGGGATCTAAATAAATAAAGAATAAACTCCCTGTGCTTTAATAATTGAAATGAAATGTATAGCCGACTGTTTAAGAAAAAATACCAATTCAGTCTTTTTTAACCACTATTAGACTGTTCAAATAAATAAACATGTACTGTCTTGTCTATTTACGCAGCCTTTTTGTGTTTCTGTCAGGCCCTCCTCAGAAACTTGCCCGTCGGGTGTTCACTAACAGCCGTGAGCGTTGGCGGCAGCAGAATGTGAACGGAGCTTTCTCTGAGCTCAGAAAACTTATTCCTACTCACCCGCCTGACAAGAAGCTCAGCAAGAATGAGATCCTGCGTCTGGCCGTGAAGTATATCAACTTCCTAGTCACACTGCTCAACGACCAGGCCCAGGACAAGAGCAGGGAGGAAGACAAAGCGGGGGATGGCAGCAGTACTCCTGGGTTGGACGGTAACGGTCAGAGGACTTGTTTTCTGATTAACACACCACCTGAGACAGCCCATCCTGCTGCTGTGGCAAAAGCCCACAGAGATTCAAGTGACTCAATCATCGCATTGGCAAACTCTCCGGCGACGTCAAGCTGCTATGGAGACACGGACAGCGATGAGAGCTTTGGGGCTAAGACCTCTTTGGTAACACACAGTATTCTGGGAAAGGTAAAAGGCCAGATGAGGATGGTTGCTGCCACAAATGATGAACGGTGACTAAGAAGGACAGCTAAGAAATACCTCCACAAGCTCTGGCAAGGAAAAAGTATTTGAAAAATCAGAAGCTACCAATGATATTAGAACTGTGAGTGTTTTTTTTTACTTGTTTTTGTGGTTTTTTTTGCTTCAAATCATCCAGTGTTTTTTAATCCTCTCCTAACTAGAGTGAATAAAATGTGAATTATGATGGTATATTGCTCTGTTTTCATGTAGCCATGTTGCAAAGATTGCTCATGAGGCTGTGAGCATAATTAATGCTTTGCATTGGGAAGGTTAAGGGATTACTTAACATAGGAAGATCAGCCAACCAATAATCTAAAAAACAGTTACACTTCAAAAAATAAACTTTGCCCTCTTTCATATTTAAACACCTTAAAACCAAAAGCACGAATGAGCTTTATAGAGACTATTGATATACACATAACTGAGAAGTTACAGATAAGATATGGTTTCCACTCCTTTCTTTGATTATATAAATCTGAGAAGTCTGGCATTGTATTTTCATTGAGCACCGTCTACTCTGATACCCTTAAATAAAACATAGTGCAGTCAGCTGACTTCAGCAGACTGAAAAGACTCAACCTGTGTGTAATTTTGGTATACAACTAGCCCAAGATGTCTGTGAAGACTTGTTTCCACTCTGTAATATGTTTCAGGTTTAAAGATAACGTCTTATCTATCTCATCAATTTTGGTTTGTTCATGTTAATGACAAATCTTCCTCATGCTCAAAGGTTACCTGTGGAGTACCACAGGGATCAGTGCTAGGACCAATTCTCGTTACTATATATATGCTCCCAATCTGTAGAGTTATTAGACAGCATGGGATTAATTTTCACTGTTATGCTGATGATACCCAGCTATATCTGTCTATAAATCCAGATGAAGCTAACCCATTAAATAGTTTACAGGCATGTCTTGAAGACATATAAACCTGGATGACTTAACTTGCTGCTCCTGAATGTAGACAAAACAGAAGTTATAGTCTTTGGACCAGAGTCTTTGAAAAAGAAGCTGATTAGCCAGTCACTTCATTTGGATGGGATTAAACTGATTTCAGATAATAAAGTAAAAAATCTTGGTGTTATTTTTGATCAGGACCTGTCATTTAAATCCCATATCAAAGAGGTTTCTAGAATTTCCTTCTTTCATCTGAGGAATATTGCAAAAATTAGAAATATCCTGTCCAGGGGTGATGCTGAGAAACTAGTCCATGCATTTGTTACTTCAAGGCTGGACTATTGTAATTCTTTACTATCAGGAAGTCCACAAACTGTAGTTAAAAGCCTTCAGCTGATCCAAAATGCTGCAGCCAGAGTTCTGATGATAATAAAAAAGAGAGATCATATCTCTCCTATCCTGGCTTCTCTTCATTGGCTTCCTGTTAAATCCAGAATAGAATTTAAAATCCTCCTTCTCACATATAAAGCCTTAAATGCCCAAGCTCCATCTGATATCAGAGATCTGATTGTTCCTTATGTTCCTAACAGAGCACTTCGCTCTCAATCTGCAGGTTTACTAGTGGTTCCTAGAATTTCTAAAAGTAGAATGGGAGGCAGATCTTTTAGTTATCAGGCTCCTCTCCTGTGGAACCAACTACCAGTTTTAGTCCGTGAGGCAGACACCCTGTCTACTTTTAAGGCTAGGCTTAAAACTTTCCTTTTTGATAAAGCTTATAGTTAGAGTGGCTCAGGTTATCCTGAGCTATCTCTATAGTTATGCTGCTATAGGCTTAGACTGTTGGAGGACATAGGGACCCCTTTTTCATCATTCTGCTTCATTCCATCTCTATTCTCCCACTCTGCAGAATCTGCTATTTTAATCTCTAAAGTTATGCTCTCTCTGCTTTTTCTCATAGTAGTTTTGTCTTGTCTTTTCCTGTTTGGCTGTAACTCCATCAGCTGTGCTGCTGTCTTCAACACCTTTGTTTATAGATGTTCGAGATCTGCCTGTTTTTCCAGTGTAGTCCTGTTTCTCTGACTGTAACTGGCTGGATGTGCTCTCTTCATCCTCTGACATGGGAGCTGGCTCAGAGCTCATCTGCCTGGCTGTGCTTCCTGGATCGGGCCGCCTTTAAAAGTTGCCTTTTGCATCTATGCTTCTTTTTCTATGTCTGCTTCTGTCCCTTGAACCCCACTTAGCCTCAGCAGATGGTCGCTCACACTGAGCCTGGTTCTGCTTAAGCTTTCTTCCTGTTAAAAGGGAGTTTTTCCTCTCCACTGTCGCTACAAGCATGCTTAGTGTGAGAGATTGCATTCGAGCCAATGAGTCGATGCAATTAACTGGCTTTCCTTAGATAAAAAACTTGGAATCAATTTCACTGTAGGATCTGGTGAACTGTAAAGTGTCTTGAGATGATGTGTTGAGAATTGGCACTATAAAAATAAACTGAAATGAATTGAATTGTTGTACACGTGGTAATGGGGGAGTGGCAGCCTAGTGGTTAGGGCATAGAGCTTCCTGAGCTTCTGAGTTCGAGCCCCACTGCCACAGACTGCCACTCTGGGTCTCTGAGCAAAGACCCTTAACCCCCGATTGCTCCCAAGGCACCCCACGATGGCAGCCCACTGCTCCCCAAGGGGATGGGTTAAGTGCAGAAGTAAATTTCTCCCATGTGAGATCAATAAAGTTTAATTATTATTGTTACAACAGTTAAGATCATCCAGCAGCTTTTGTTAGCATCCATCTTACTTTGGCTTCATATACCTAAATCAGTCAAGACAATTAGGTCACAGTGGAAGTACATCCGAGGTGCCATAATATCCACAGTGCAAAAATGATCTAGAAATAAGTAAACATTTCTGTAAATTAAGTATATTTACCCTTAATTTGAGAAGGTGAATAAAATGATTTTCCAATGGAATGAGTATTTTAACTCTAAAAATAAGAGAATTCGATAATATGCACTTGAAAAAACACAATTCAATTGTTCTTTATTTTTCATGTAAATTGTCTTATCCCATTGGTGAGTGTGTCACTTACCTCCTCAAATTAAGAAAAAATGCACTTAAGAAAAAAAATGACTTATTTAGACTTTTTGCAGTGCATCCATCCATCTTCTCCTCCTTATTCCATCGGGTTCTTGGTGGGGCCGGTGCCTTTCTCCGGCAGTCTATAGGCGAGAGGCAGGGCACACCCTGGACAGGTCGCCAGTCTGTCGCAGGGCAACACAGAGACGCACAAATGTGTACAACCATGCAGAGATGCTCACACCTAAGGATAATTTAGAGATGCAAATCAACCTGTCATATTTTTGGACCGTGGGAGGAAGCCGGAGCACCCAGAGAGAACCCACACATGCACAGGGAGAACATGCAAACCCCAAGCATACATACTAAGGGCCAAGAATCGAACCCAACACCTTCTTACTTCAAGGCAACAGAGCTACAAAATGCATCTGGCACAGCGGGCCACTGTGACAGCAAATCCCATAATATTTTCCGAGGAGAGCTCTCCACGCAAAGCATTCTGGGATATATATGCCTCTTCTGAGGCCTTTCTTTTCTTCTCTTACACTTCGTAGACACATTTTCTCTTACAACCCTCGGCCATTTTCAAAGAACTGCGGTGAGAAAGGTGAGCTTCAATGGCTGTCGGAAACTGTAGTTCACCACAGATATATGCCTGAAAGTGCGCATGCACACAAAAAGATAGATAACAATACAAGCATGTAGGAAGGACTTACGTAAACATATCACCAGAATGATTGACAATTAGGAGAACCACTTATTTAGATGATCCACCTGGAAATTAAAGATCGTCCTTCATACTTTCAGTGTATAGTCAGAAAACAACAAAGTGAAAACTCTCAGATTGTGCCAAAAGATGGGTATTAAAGGAATAGTACACCCAAAACATGATTAGCCTTCATTTTCTACTCACCCCCATGCTGAACAACACTCTGGAGTACTTTTTTGATATCTCAAATGCATCTGGAGATCTGGGAGGCTTCTTGCTGTCTGCTGACATTCAAATAATGGAGGTCGATGGCGCCCGAGGCAGAAAGGTCCATAAAAGTCCACAAAAAACGTGTCAATATTCCTCCATACTGCTCGTCCAAGTGTCCTGAGTTGGTAGCGTCCATAATTTACTCGAAACAAAGTCATTTAGAATGTTTTTAGAGCATAAACAGTAGTGTATAGGATTTCCTAAAAGAGCGCGCCTGCGAGTTCACGAGCCTACGGAAACTGCGGCAGACCAAACCAGATGAAAGTGCGCATTCAGCGTCTGCTCTTGATAATGCAAGCGTAGAAGAAGAAATGTGCTGTTTACCTGTGCACAGAAAGAAACAACGAAAGAAAAATGTCTGAGGACTTCAGTGTTGAGGAAGAGCATGAGTTCTTTGCCGAGCTGAATGCGCACTTAATCTGGTTTGGTCTGCCGCGGTTTCCGTAGACTCGTGAACGCGCTTTTAGGAAATCCTATACACTACTGTTTATGCTCTAAAAACATTCTAAATGACTTTGTTTCGAGTAAATTATGGATGCTACCCACTCAGGACACTTGGAATACATTGGACGAGCAGTATGGAGGAATATTGACACGTTTTTTGTGGACTTTTATGGACCTTTCTGTCTCGGGCACCATAGACCTCCATTATTTGAATGTCAGCAGACAGCAAGAAGCCTCCCAGATCTCCAGATGCATTTGAGATATCAAAAAAGTACGCCAGAGTGTTGTTCAGCATGGGGGTGAGTAGAAAATGAAGGCTAATCATGTTTTGGGTGTACTATTCCTTTAAGAAGAGAAGTAAGGCAAATTCTTAATCATTCCATAGCTTTTTATTGCATAAAGTTTTAAAAACTGTCATTTTCCTTCCCCTTTTATTAATTCAGACATAATGTATCATTAAATGTATGTTTTTAGGTTGTGAAAATGTGAAAAAGTTAAAGGTTTATGAAAACTTTTGCAAGGCAACCCTTATTCCAAGCATCCACAAGTTTCATCCTCTAAGAATGAACCCTAATTAAAAACCACATAATAAAATAACTTTTATAGTTTTTTCCACCACAAAACTTGAAGGTAAATTGTTCTTAGCCACTAGTGCTTTCCAATTTAATATGTTTAACGTTCCTCATGTCCTTGTTGAATATAAGCAGGGTAGATAGGTCCACCCTGAAGTTGTGACACACTTCCACCAAACAATAATAAAGCGTATTTTAGTTTGCTGTTCCTTATTTGACATCCT